CCTGCTGAGCACATCCCCTGCACAATCATCTCATTTCAAGGCGAAGAAAAAGCTGGGGAGAGAAGTTTGGGGGAAGCAGAGAAGGAAGGGGAGCATGTCTCACATGTTCAGATGAGGTATTATAATGCAACAGGGAGAGATAAGAGCAAGGAAGAGAGATCTTTAATTAGGCATTTTTTCCTTTTTCATCTAACAAAGGGCACTGTTCTCTGTTAACTCTGATTTGCCCGACTCTTGCACTGACCTGCTGTTTTTTCTGTGCTGATTTCTGGAAAATTACAGACACCACCAGTGCTAAATTTCAGGGACTGGGGTAGCTGAAAGCCACGTGTTTAAATAAAATATTTCTGTGCCTTTCCTTCCAAAAGGTGCCTGCATGGAGGTGGTAGGCTCCACACGCCCTTGCACAGCTGCTCTGCTCTGCCCCAGTTCCTCTGCTTCATCCAACAGATACCACATGTGCTTGTTAAATCATCTGCTTTTCTCTTTTTTTCCCCAGGTTGCAGAAGGCAATGGGACAACATCACGTGCTGGCCTGAAGCAGAAGTGGGAGAAGTTGTGGTACGGCCGTGCCCAAAGTACTTCAGATTCCTCACCACTTTTCTCGGTAAGCAAAACCAGACAGCTCATCTCACTGAAATGGTTTACGGCTTCACTGCCTGTGGGTTTTCACATCATATCACAGGGGAAGCTTCTTGGTATAAGGAGGGAGAAACAAGCTCTTTGCACAAGGTAAAGGAGGTTTCCAAGCCATACATGAATGCCCAAACCATTAGAGCATCCTCCCTCTCCTTCTTGCAGCACCACATACTACTCTGGATCATAGGGATGCAAAAATGTCTCCTGACGAAATCCAATAATATGGATATTGTGCAGTGAAAATTGAATCAACCTGTGTAATAATATGTTTTTTTGTACAAAATGAAACAGTTTAGCACTATGGTTAATTAAGTCTCTGACATAAAATAAACAAGCTGAAACTGTACATAATAAAGTATTTTTCTGCTGAAATGACAAATTTGGCCACAGGCCAAGAAATTAACCTGACAAATAATGGTCAGGGAAGGTTAATGGAGAAAGTAGCTTAACTCCCTGTTCAGGGTGTTCTGGGAAGCTTTAATTTAAAACTCGGGTCTCAAGAGCCATGCAGCAACAGGACTCTTTGTCTTCTGGTAGTTTATAGTCATTATTTACTATTTTTATTATAGTAGCCCTGCAGGCCTCCACAGAGAATTAAGCTCTTTTGCACTGGAGGTTATGCACCGAGCTGGTAAGTCTCCACTTTTACAGCCTTGCAGTCCAGACAGACACGATAGATTATGAATGGGAGTAAGGATACAATATCATCCCTGTTTAACAGGCCAGGGCACTACACTGATTAACCAGCACACGCTGATTACATGACTTGCCCAAGGCCACACCAAAAGGCTTTGCAGACCCAGAAGGGAAATTCAAAATCCCCGGTGTCCTGTCCTAGTGCTGTAACCTCCCTGTGTCCAAAACTCCCCAATAGTTCACCACTGCTGCATCAACACCCAGGGAAAGGGGGCAGAAGCTGCTGTAATATCACATCTTGCAGGACAAGACCCCTGCACATTGGTCCAGCCATGTGGAATAATTGCCTGCTGTTGATGCTTTGTGCCTTCACCTCTCCTGAGCACAGCATTTGCTCACCGGGTTTTAGAGACCCAGCAGAGTCAGTTAAACAGCAAGAAAAAAAACTCTCTAAGAAATTTTTCTAATACTTCATCCCACCAGAGCAGAGCAATGAGGAAAGTATAATATATATTTAATATTGTGTATATATATGTGATCATCTCTCTCTCTCTCTCATTGTGGCTGTGTTGAACTTAAGCTAATGAAAGTGGGATTCCTTTAATTGTGCACTAGGATAGGCTTATGGGACTCAGTAAACTTGCCCTTTCAGGGGCATCTACTGGTCTCTGGAATGTCCTAGGACATCTCAGCTGGTCTTCAGCTTCCTCTGCAGAAAGGTGCAGTTCTCACATAGTTCACGTGTCATTGGATGTCTCAGGTAGTTAAGGGTATCTCAAAAACCCTATGCTTAGGCAAGCGAATGGTTCCTATTCTGGTAGAAGTCCAGACTTCACTGAGAGCAGTAAGGGCATCACTTGGGCTTTCTGTGCACTTACCTCAATGTGCCAGGCCAAGAAAAAGCCTCAAACACAAGCCAACCCATGACCCTTCCCTGCATACCCATGTTGTAGCGTGGCTGCTGGCATTTGTCCAGTTCTGTCAGCAGTGAGCTCAGCAAATGTCATCTGGCCTTGCAGCTGGCAATGTCAGCAGTCTTCTGGGGGGAATTCACATTGCTTTGGATGAGTTTCCTCTGGTTAAATGTAGTTTTCTGCATCTGACTGTCATCCAGGGTTTCCAGTCACTGGGGGGCTGCCTGGTTTGGGCAGCGGTGGCCAGGGCATGATTCAGCTCCTCATAGATTAGCCACTTAAACAGACTGGATGAGCAGCATCATGAAAATACCTATTTCTCCTCGTTTAGTGTGGTAAAGCACAGAGTGACTTCCTTTGTTGGAGAAAGCAGATTCAGCACTCTTAATTTCTGCTGTTTCTAATGAAGATGTGTCTGTATGAGATAGGTGCCTGCAGTCAACAGGCAACTGTAGGTAGGAACCTGAACAGCTCTTTAGATGCCATTTGCTGTATTGATAAATTTTCTGTTGAGTGTAGTAGAAGTGCAGACACTAAGCTTACAGGTGGGCACCTACACTATAGACACTGAGGGCTCCATTCAGTTTCCTCAGCATAAGCATCTGGTGCCATTTGAGATACTCTGGGGGTTCTAAGAAATCCATGAGGCTGCCTCAACTGGTGCTAAGATACCTGCATTTAGGGAACACATTTCTAACCTGGAATGGCATCCATATCAACTGATTTTAGAGTTTTCCATATGTAAACCTGCCTCTGAGCTTGTTTTGCAGTCAGTGGTGAGAAATAGGCTCTTTAAATGTGCAGTTCAGCTGATTTTTAGACTTCAAGATGAGTTGAATAACATCGATAAACCATATATTTCTCTCCATGTACAATCAAATGATTGTAGAGTGGCTCTGGTAGATGTGAATGTCTTACAATACAGGTGAATCCCACCTTTGCTAGCATTTCCTTCTGTAAACAGAGAAACTAATGCCATTTCCAAAGCAAAAAGAACAGCTTTGATTTTCTCTGAGCTATGCACTTTGTACGATCATATACAAATGTGGAAAGCACACATAATCTTAAATAAAGGGAGGGTAAGATTGCCTCTTGTTTTATAGGATTTGTTGCAAAATTAATGCCATTAAAGTTTGTGAAGCAGTTCTTCCTTTGTAGTAGTGAGTATGATTGAATAGCTTTCAAGGAAATCAATCATCTGGTTAATGTTTATGTCTTACTCTTTGATCCCTTCATGGGAACATGAAAGCTTATACCGAAGTTGTGAGCAAGAGAAAATCTTTTTTTTATATTTATAGCAGGAAAAGGGTGAAATACTGGGAAATAAAGAGTTAATGTGGTTTTCCTGCCTAATAGAGAATATGCTCTTCAAATGACTAATATCCTATCTCATGGTAAATAAAGGATAAAATATCTCGTGGCATTTAGAAACCTTAAAATGCCTAGCATAGTCTTGATGTCATCTGACATTAAATTTTTATGCCATTCGCAAATCCAGAAGATTTTCATTATTCCATGACATTCGTCAGTAGCATGTGAAGGAGGTGGATGAAAATATTTTTGGCACCTTTCATTATTAAAGTGCAATACTCACTATCCCTTGACCAGAGCGTTCCAGCTTTCTTTCAATACATAGAAAATGACATCTGCAATAGGGATTTGTTTCCCACAGTTTCTCCAAAAGCAAATTGTCCATCATGCACGAGTTAAACAGTAAAAATTAGCACTGACAGCTTTTAAGTTTCAACTATGAGATTAATTGACTTAACGGGGCGGGGATGGGAATAAGCACGCTCTGGAATCCCACTCAATGAGGGTGAGATTATTCTGGGTTTCAGGATTGCCAAACTCCTTTTTGACTCTGGTGCTCTAAATTTACTTCTGCTCTCCTTTCCCCTCCCTCATAAAAGCGTTTTACTTCTCTTTCCTGCTCCACTTCCCTTCCTTGTGCTTAGTGGGCCTACTGACCGCAAGGACTGCAATTCATCATTAATTCTGGTATATTCCTATTGTCAAGCCATCTAGAACAGAGCTGTCCAGATCCTGCCTCTCTGCAGGCGGGTAGCGCCACTTCTAGATCACCCAGGTATGGCAGCTTCCCTGTGTGGAGCTAAGCACACCAACATGTGTGTGCATTTGTGTAGTTCAACTCAAAATCCTTCAATTTTTGAGTTGTCAAGTGCATTGAAACAATACTGGCGCTGTTATCACATATCACTTCAACTTCAGCCATATCTTCCCTCCCATGCTCCACAAGTTCCTGATTTCCCCCCATTCTCCAATACATAATGTCTTCATCCCCTTACTTGTTTTGTTCATCTTCATCATTTTTGCGCGAGACACTAACTCTTTCCTGATGTTAGAAATCCACTGCCAAACACTGGGCATGAGTGTTACAAGGAAATAGAACTTGTCGACGTTGATGGATCCCACACCATGAATTTATAATTTTGCTGGACTAGTGGAGAGTGCATAACTTCACAGGTGTAGCCAAACTGTGACAGTGCTGTCTGGAACAAGTGTTGTCATCAGTGCATTTTTGTGTGAGTAGGAGGCCATCAGAGAGTCTAGCTGGCATTGCCATCCAGTACTGGTTCATGCCCTGCTATGCTCCTATTGCATTTAGACATAACCTGCTCTAACGGGTTGAAATTCTAAAACCATATCGCAAGAAGACAACAGAAATTCTCAGATATCTATTGTGACATTCATGCACAAATAAAGAAAAAGAGATAATGCAAGGAAGCAGTCAGGAAACTGATAATGGAAATTTGCCCAATATATCATAGATCACAGATTATGAAAATACAACTTTGATTGACCACCTGAAGTGTCCATTAAATTTCCACATGTCCTCTTGAATAGTGGACATCATCATTCCTCAATCATACCTTGTACCAGCCAGATCCTTGGGACAGGGTTAGTACTTGGAAGGCTCCTGAGATTAACTGTGAGCCACTGGAGTACGGTGGCTTCTCCAAGGCTACTCTTGTTCCTCCAGAGTACAAGAGCGTAGGAGATGACTTGCCTCATCCTACAGTGGTTTACAAAAACGTTGCCACTGCTTTTTAGTCTCCCCTTGTTGCATGTAAATGACAAAGATAAACTGAAGCTGTGGAAGATGGATATTCTGGTAAATAAAAAGCCCATCATACTAGAAGAGACTGGAAGAATGTGGCTTAGTGACTCTTGCTTAGTTTGGTAAAGCAAAAGGTGAGAGGTCCCACTGCAAGAGTGAAATCAAGGAAGG